TTTTCAACAACAGCACGGTCTTGCTGGTTTTCCACTGAATGGGACCTTGCATTCTGACAGGTAGCGAATGAAGAGCCGAGCTAGGGTGTTGATGAGAACTGGCGGCAGATTATTCAGATGTTCTGGTCTGATCCTGTCTGGACCGGGTGCTGTTCTGTTTTTCACCGACGATATAGCATGTCGGATTTCGGAAGGGAGGACCGGTGGGACGACATATTCGTCCTTTTTCAATTTATATGACGGTAAGAGGACATGGCTAGCGAAGAGATTTGAGTAGTATTGGTAGATGATTTTCTCCGTAGCTCTTCTCGAAACTGTAAGTGTCACGTCAGAGTATCGGAGTGCAATCATCTTAGTCTTATAGTTGGCGAAGCCTCGCTGGGCTTTGCGAATGCTCTTCTCAGCTTCTGCAGCTTTTGCTATAACTGCTCCTCGTCTCTCTTTGAGGTCTTCTTTTACCGCTTCTCTACAGCGTTTCGGCAGACGTAAGGTTTCGGTTGCCTGTAGCTCGAGCGATTCCACGCTGACGTATCAGCTCCATTGTCTGTGGAGACAAACGTCTCTTCGTGACCTCATGACTCTCGGCTTTCATAGCGCTAACGTGAAGATATACAACGAGCCAATTGTATTCTTCGTCGATGTTGTCGACAACGGTTTCTTTCCAAGAGCGGACTAATGAACTAATTACATTCCAGTTTATGGTGGTTCTGGGACTTCGTTGTTTAAAGTTAACGGCTTTCTTTCCTCTCCGCGAAAATCGGAACGTTGCGCGAAGGAATCGATGGTCCGATTTCGTGTAGAACTTAGGAACAACAGCAACATCGGTCAGGCAAATCCTTCGATTTACTATGATGTGATCGATTTCGTTATGGTACTCTCCATTGGGAGACTCCCACGTCCATCGCTGAGAAAGACGCTTTTGGAATTGCGAGTTACCATGGATGGTTTGGGTCGTCATGATAAACTCGGATAGCCTCTCACACTGTTCATTCCATTCTAGTCCGTGGGTCCCTATGTGACGTTCTTCAGACGTTCTTCTAGGTCCAATTTTTGCGTTAAAATCTCCGACAATGACCTTGAAGAATGTATGATCTTATCTGAAGAATTTTTCGAGGCCCATATAGAACGCTTCGACTTCGTCTTCGTCATAGCTTGATGTTGGTGCGTTAGCAACGCAGATGGTCAAAGCCGGCATAGAACCACATCGTTTCAACCGTAATCTTCCGATACGGGTTGTTAGTTGTTCGAACGAATCAATGTTCACGGTCAAATTCGATTTGACGAGGACGCCAACGCCGCCGACTCCTCTGCAATCGCATGTAACAAGGAACAGTTCTTCTCCGGTGTCATAAACATCGTGAAAAGGATGGCGCCTTCTCGTCTCAGCCAGGCCAATGACGTCGTACCTTATTCTTCTTGTTTGAATCAATAGATCTTCTACAGCGGATGCGTGAGCAAGGGTTCTTGCTTTGTAGGTACAGATCGTCATTTTAGTCCGTTTCGATCTTGACAGCCTAGTTCGGCCCTGAGATTTTAGCAGCCTCTCCGCACTCGTCCTACCTGGCGCTGCCGTACTAGGGGCTCTTTCGGGGTCAGGCGAATGAGGCCCATGTTTGTTGCTGTTTTTGGCATTTTGATACCCAACGTATAGCTTGCCAGGCTCTGAACGTGGGGGCTGGGTACTCACGAGTAGCTTGCCAGTCTCTCTCAGAGGAGCGGTAGGAGCATATTTGTTGGAGGCGACTTCTAACCGCCTCCCATGTACTTCCCTGCCGCTTGATTGCAGGCTTTTGGCCGACTTGACTCGTAGAAATAGAGTTTTTGTCAAGTCGGTGCTGCAGAAGCAGGGAGCTCATCCCCTGAATCCACCTGCGTCTCTGGGAAGCAAACGGTCGCTTTTGGTTCGCGTTTATTCCCCTATCCACCACCTGGGGACGCGCCACGTGCCCTCGCGACAAACCGGGCGGGATACCTCAAAGAGGGAGATCCGTGGATATTTATCTACATACATATTAAATATAATGTAAATAGATGTAGCATTTATAGACATGATTCAATAGGATTCAACATACATATCTATATATATATATATATATATATATATATATATATATATATATGTATGTATATATATATATATGTATATATATATATAATTATGTATACACCTCACGAGATGCTCTACGAGATGTGAAACAAATGATCACTTATGGATGCGATAGCAACATCATATGTATATAGCATTTAGAAAAAAGTGAGGCTCTTACCATGAGGTTCATTTTTTAATTTCACCTTTCGATGATTTATTTTTCAGAGGAGTTAATTTTCTGGAGTTTTTTTGATCAATCAACAACTCATCAACTGTAGATGTAAAGCCTTAAGTGGCCTCAAAAAGGTCTGTTTTCTATAATTTGCCACGCTACAATGACCTCGTTACCAAGGAAAGTAGAACAATAAAAATTAGTGAAATGAATTTGCTAACAATCAAGGAGAAGCCACTCATAATATGGCCCCTTCATACTTTAAACTATCGAATGATTAGAATGACTTCAGAAAATGCTCATGTGACCGCAAACTATATCGTCAGAAGTAGTGAAACTCTTATAGGAGCCGTTTCTTCGTGAATGGGATAGTTATTCCATTGATGTTAGATGCTGAGATACTACTATATTGCACAAGGAGAAATAATTTTCGACTAATCTCCACATTAACTCGTTCAGAACGGTGTGAAGCTCCCAAGATATATGATTATTTGAAGGCCCTTTTCTCCGTATAGAGCATTTATGTTATTGAAATCGTTCAATAGTCTGAGAAATGCCGATTTCGATATCAAGCTTGTTCGCTGAAACGATCATCATGCTACGTTTTACTAAAGGAAAAGGATGTTTCGTTTTTGGAGTGCTTGTTTCAACTTCACAGCGAATTTGCTTGGTAATTTTTATTAGAATTTCGAATTAAGAAAACTTTGCTGCTATAAAAATGCACTGTTATTGTAGGGGCTTACATAAATGTGATTTTGTGGAAAAGGAGTACAGCTATCCTAAGAACTTCCTCCTTTCAATATGGAATGCAGTCATATTGTGTCTAGTGTAATCTTGTTTCCTTTCCTTTATCACTTAACAGAGTTTTGCATCGACTATTAGCAATCATTCAAGGGCTCACGAGCTTGAGTTTTAGTACTGAACCTGGTTTATGAACAGATTTTTATGGTATGCTCTGCTAACAAAGAAGGTTTATCTTTCGGAGTGCTTTACCAACTTGACAGAGCAATTTTTGATATTATCCACTGAATTTCGATTCTAAGCAAAACTTGTCCCTAGTATAAGTGGAGTATTGCTGTAAGGACTTATGTAAGCGTATGTTCAGTGAATAGAACGTGCAGTTCCCCTAAAAGATTCACTTTTCATCACAAAATTGCGTTGAATGCAGTTAATTTTCATCAGACTACTACTAATCATTCGATAGCCTTAGAAAAACTGATTTGAATACTGGGTATCTGGTTTATGAAAACACTTTGATGCTATGTTCTAGCAACGAAAAGTGATTACGTCTTGAGTTCTGAGTACTAAGCCTTTTGTTCAATTCTAACAGCGATTTTTTTTTTGGTTTCATACAATAGAACTTGATTCTAAGTAAATTTTGTAATACTCAATACGAAAGCTGCATACTTCTAGTGTTAGTGCTCATACCCCGTGACAAAAGGTGTCTTCATAGAATCAAAATCGCCATTTACGAATCAACAAAACTTCTACAGCCGTGGAAGGATATCTTAAGATTTTTTTCCATGATAGTTCAACTTCTGAATTGCACTTACATGAAGAATTTGGAGAGAGCTATCAATGAGGTGGCATCATGTGCACTGTGCAGCATTATTCTTGACGATTTATTCACTGCCTTGCAATTTCCATTCACAGTGATGATTGTGAGATATGCATGGAATGAGATTGTATCAAAATTGAAAGATACGTGTCGTAATATTTCTTTTCGGAAGTACACAACTGTAATATAAATGAGTGTTGACGAGTATTTATAGCATTGAATAAAGGTTAACTGCTCTTCACATGAGAGATGAAAGTGAAATAAAACTTTTATATGCCTGCGGCTTTTCTTTCAGAAATGCGGCATCTCAAAAGAAGCATTGATGTTGTTTCCAGCTTGCAGCTATTGATAATGTCTATAGTTAAATGGATTTGGGTTTACAAAAAATTATTACCCAGAACGCAATGAGCAAGGCCACTTCTACAACTCTGAAGGTCTCAATTTCTAGGATCCATTAATCATAGCTTGTTGCTGCGAATTATCGGTGAAGTGGCATCGCATTGCCATTGTGTAGTATTTGACTGACAACTATTACTTTGGAGTCGTCTCAGCATGTTTTATCCAAAATTGTCTTAATAGAATCTCTTCAATCATATTCAATCATTTACTGACGACTGAATCTCTTTTAGTGGCGATGAAAAGGTAAATTTCATTAGAAAACCAGCACTCTGTCCAAGATTTCTTATGTTTTCAATGCTTTTTCGCAGTCTTATGATGTTCTAAATATCTGTAAAAGAATTGAGTGGTAACCAAAAATTCGACCTCAAACAGAAGTTGAACCCGTGTTTCATCCATACTGTGGACGCGTGCTACCACTACGCTCCCGAGCCACTGCTTACTTACCACTTATTTTCCAATATCTCTCTATCATAGCTATCAGCCACCAACCATCAGCAGATTTGGCAGGGTAACAAAATCTCTCTATAAACCCAGTTAGGCTGACAGCCTTTATACATACAAAATTCCAAGATTTCTCATGTTTTTACTGCTTTTTCGCAGTGTTATAATGTTTCAATTATCCCAAAAAGAATTGTGTGGTAAGCAAAAATCCAGTTTCAGGCGGGTGGAACCCGTGATCTCTCCAGTAAGCAATATCGTTCTTATCCGACCAAACATTTAATGGTTGGTGGCTGATAGCTATGGTGGAGAGATATTGAAGAATGAGTGGTGAGTAAGAGGTGGCATTAGTGGTGTAGTGGTAGCACGCGCATCTTTGCATGGATGAAGAGCAGGTTCAACTCCCGCTTGAGGTTGAATTTTCACCACTCAACTCTCTTAGAAAAACCATTGCCTCGCGATCCCGTTGCCTCCCTTGCAGGAAATCAGTGCTGTTCTTAACGGGTTAAATAAGTCTGTTCTAGAGACTTTGTAATCACTCAGTCACGTGGAAGTTACAGCGGCAATTCCTTCTGCTGCAATACAGACTGCCTCCAAGAAAGCAGATCAATTTGTGATAAAATGAACGACCATTCGTTTCGTATAAAAGGCTTCCATCATGAGATGTTTCTTTATTCATGCTGTATCCCGCTTCACAACACCCAAGAATACATCAAACGGCACGACACTGTCGATTATTCTAGCATTACGAAGGACAAGATGTGGTTGCAAAGGCTCTACAGTGCCTACACTTCTGGCCGACACGGCAGACCTAAACGGTGGCTAAAATAGCATCATTTTTCTACCTTTATATCTCTTCTCACTTCCCTTCTTTTAGAGAGGAACGTCAATACTTCGGGCAATAATCATATAACCTCCGAAGCTTCCATCATTTCCTTTGCATTAACAGCTTATTACTTCTTCGAATAGCCCTTTGATTTTTTTTGATGACGTCATTGAGATTTTGTTATCCCAGTGATTCTTTGTCTACATTTCTGAGACTACTGTTACATATATGCTTCCTACATTCGTATATTTTTTATAACAACGGCCATTTAAGATTTGTAGGAAATCGAATTCACACTAATCCATGCGACATATTCTTTTACAGACCTGCGAAAAGCTGCATTTTCACCCGAGAAACTCTGGGGCTTTGAATCTCGTTGCAAATATTAGTGTGATAGAATTTTTTTCGGAAACTTTGATGACATATTAGATCTCACAAAGCCTCAATAGAAATGAGAACTCTCAAACTTTGTGTAACTTTTTAAACTCATTGAAACTCTTTATTTTACCAAAGTACTCGTCTACGTGATGTTGCACCGGAATTACTCTATGCCATTTTCGGCTTAATTGATATATGAAAATTGAGAAAACTTATCTTGATTAGCTGACGCGAGGTTGGTAAACTAGTCGTAGCAACTCGGCTCACGTTTCGGCGACTCGCCTTCTTCAGAGCCTGGGCGTATGTAGTATCAGTCTGTTTGAATGATTCGGAGGATCTTATTTATATGCTGCCTAGTCAGGTTAGATGATAAAACGAAGAAAGGGCGCGAGATCTCGTGTGATGGTGACACATTCGCCCTCCGGTTCATTTCGGGGTTTTTGGCGTTAGTCCAAAATGCCTCAAGAGTTTTGCGCGTGGATGCTTTTGATTCCTGCGCTAGGATTGTGGCAGTCACATCAAAATCCTTGTTGTTGAGTTTTTGTGCCCTATGCAAACCTAAAGTTTTGGTTTTATCTATTTTAGATTCACTATCTAGATGTTCTTCAATGCGGATGAAAAGTGGCTCGACCCGTTTCGCCTATAAATTCTTCCTCGCATGTCTTACAAGTCAGCAAATAAATTGTGCCTGATCTCATACAATCCCCTTCTTCTCCGTTAGGGCAGATCATACAGTTTTTAGTGTTGCACAATCGCTTGTAAAGTCTATTCTAGATCAGTTGATGGCGTAGGGTAGGAGTTGATATTTTGATATCTCCCACGGAATTCCGCATAGAAAGAGCGATGTGCAAAATGGGCGTCAGTAGTGTAACGGATAGAGCATGGATTCCCTTAAAGAATGAGCTGCGGGTTCTAGTTCGGCGTGACGCGAAAGTTTTGCACATCACTCTACATCAATGGGTACCACGGAATTTTGAGACCGTATCTTTTTACGCACCTTTTAATCGCGCTACTAATTTCATTTGATATAAATGGCAGTTCAAAGGAAACTCTATTCAGGTGCGGAGTATTGTTCTTTCGGGACCTAATCCCACTTTTTGAATATTCCCAAGTAGCGAATGTTTTGTAGCCGTTTGAAATGGCAATTTTTCGTGCAAAGTCTAACGATTCGTTCCTTTCCTTTTCTCCTGTGCACACATTTTTATCCGTTCGAAACATGTTTTTAATAAGCGATTTTTTATGTGTGAAGGATGAAAGGAAAGGTGATTGACCAGAATGTTTTTGTTACTTGGTTTTCGCTACCATTTTGTACTATAGCCACTATCCAAAAGCTTTACTTGGATGTTTAAGAATGGTAGCCAGCTCCCGTTTGGACTCTCTCGCGTAAATTTTATATGCTCTGACTGTCCGTTCAAGACTTCGAAACACTTGTCCGTTTCCTCTTGTGTAGAACAGACAATGAAACAATTGTCTATATATCGGCAGTAAAGCAATGGGCGGTGAACGAGAACTGGAGCTTTCACCTTATAGAAAGCTATGGCAAGACTAGGTGTTAAGCGTTCACTCATGGCTATCCCCCTGAGTTTTTTGAAATATCTTCCCCACCAAAGACCAAGGTCTTGAAAATTCCGTGGTAGTTATCAAAATATCAACTCCCACCCTATGCCATCAGCTGAACCGCAATTGACTTTATGATCGATTGTGCAACACCAATAACTGTATGATCTGCCCCAACGGAAAAGAAGAGGATTGTATGAGATCGGGCACAATTTAGTTGCTGAGATGTAAGACATGCGAGCAAGAATACATGGGCGAAACGGGTAAACCACTTTTCATCCTCATTTATGAACATCTAGATAGTAAATCTAAAATATAAGATTTTGCAATTTTCATATCAATTAATTATGCCGAGGTTTATAGAAAGTCGAACTTTTGAATTTTTGTTTGATTGTTAGTGATTTCTTCAAGAGCTAATTTAAGGTGGATCATAGCTTTTGCTTAGCCCGCGCATGATCCGATGACTAGCTGGATTTAATACACAATTTCCTATTTCAACTCTTTCGAAATCAATTTTTGGCTAAACAGCGTGTGGGCCAAGATTGCAGAAAGATAGGTCCCTTTCAATTGTGGCCAACACTGTTCACTTGTGCACTCTGATACTTCTTTTTCCATTCCTTTTTCTCCTGGAGGGATACGATGTGATATACAACCATAAAGATACTAAGATAAGAGGAAGACTCGGGATCGCAGTTGTGCTTTTGAACCCACGATTACTCCTTCCAGGGGCTCACTTGTGATTCATCACACCGACCCAGGTCGCTATTTTGCCAGTTTACTTGAGTTCTCCTCGTTGTTTATTTCGTAATGTCAGACAGCAATGCTCAGTCGTCGTAATGGTTACGTCAAGACCGAGGAGATAGGTACTGGATTTTTTCGCATTTGGTAAGAAAGCAGTCATATCAATCCTGTTGCGCACAATATTGGCATGCGAAAGGTGCTTCTAAACTTCACAATTAGGAAGCAATATTACTTGTTGTAGCCGTCCCACTCTTTGCCCGTTACACAATCATTGTTGACGATATCTTCGCCGTTGTTCTAGCTCGTTCAGCAACTTTGTCTTTTTTTCGAATTCAATTTAGGAATTCCAAAAGTGTGGGCTTGGTCACGCCATGTTCCTTCCATGAGTTTTCGAACTGTGCGTGAATCTGCTTCAAATAAGCTTATTTAGTTTAGTGGGCGTAGCAGATGCTAGCAATTTATGTTCTGAGCAACTTTCGTACATTCTCTCCAAACTCGAACTCCTGGAAAAAATGTCAGATTCTTTATTTCTTTTTTACACATTATAGCAGCTCTTCATAATTGACTGTATAATTTGAGCAACCATAAAATGGGTGTGGCGAAAATTCCATTTTGAGTAGTTTCTAATGTAAATTGAGTAAACAAATTAAAATCACCTTCCGACATGATAGCTTCAATTTCGAGAAGTTGGACGGAATACTGTGTTTCTCAGGTGGCTTTTTTTATTGTGCTGTCAGATTAGAAATAAAATATCACTTCACACTCAGGCATTTTTCGCTGGTTGGAACTTCTTACTACATTTACTATCCATTCGATAGCACAAACCTCAGCAACTTCAGTGGTATGCTTGAATTGTAAAAGGATCTTTTAGTGCGTTGTTGCAGCCAAAAGATGATCATGTTTCGCACTCGTCACGGATTTTTTGTCGGCTAAGGTTAGTGTAATGTTTCGGAATTGCGGTGGCTTGATGCAAACGTTGCGGAATCTCATCCACATACAGGAGCAAACGATGTGCGCTGCGTGTGGAATGTAATTTTATTTTCCGTTTTATAATGCAACAAAAAATCTTTCCGAGAAACCAAATCAATCAAACCGTTCAGATTAAAGCTATCGAATGATTACTGAAAGTCTTAGGAGAGAGCTTTGTCCGGTAAAAATTGCTTGAATCTAGAGCATAATTTTATTTTTACTGTTAAAGAGCAATAAAAAGTCTGTCTGAGAAATAAACCGTATCGTCAGCTCTCGAGATCTAAGCTGTCAAATAACTACTAAAACGGTAGAAAAAAGCAGAAAATGCGTAATTTTCAAGGAACTGAATTGGGTGCGGATAGTGGAAAAGATCCAGAAGTTTAATTTGGAGTCGTTCAGCGCTGTACTATTAAATCAGAGCATTCCAGGCAATGATGATTTTGGCAGGCCATCTACTACTAAGCAATGCTGTGCAGCATCAGCAAATTATCGTCGCCAGCATTAAATTAATGTGAAAACACCGTGGGCATTTTGAATAAATCGCGGTAGCTCCTGCGTTAGCTCATTAGTGACTAGACTTACAAAATTAGTAAGATTCAAGGCTACCGTCATTTGCTGTTCCACGGATACTAACGGAAAGAGCATTGCATGAGTTACGGTTACGCCTTGCGCAGACATTCAGCTTTTACAACTCCAAGCAGCATTTGCACCTCTTCCTTTTGGAAGACACAATCATGTCGACAAAGGTCCATGCAAAGTCTCTTCGACAACAAATTATAGCTGTGCGAAAGAAACAGTCGAAGAAGTTCACTTTGGTTGCGCTAACTCCACTTAGCATTGGCGGATTAGAAGTAACTGTAATATTTCTCCAAATCAGACGAAAGATATTTGGACCGGTGTCTTGCTCGGAATGAATCCTAGCTTGTTTGATTCTCATATCTTTCG